TTTTTTACAATGGAATTTACATTTCAGCAGTATGCTTATTATGCAGTAATCACAACAAAAATACGCTTCTTTATTATGCTAAACATATCTGCATGCAAAGCACACTCAGGCTAGAAAGATGCAGATTCTAGGAAAATGACAACTTTTCAGTTATGAAATGGAGATGAGAGAAGTGAAAAAGGGCAGAGGTAGTACGGTAGTTAATCTCTGCATGCATAAGAGCGAAAACATAGATCACCCCTGTGAATTCTACAATAAGACAGTAATGTAATGTATACACCCAGTGTATTTTAGTGCTTTGAAAATTACTATGGCATGTAAGCAAGTTATCAAACTGTCGTATGGAACTAAATCCATCCTGGTCAAAGTGAAGAATCATACTTCACACTCAAAGAAACATTGAGCAAACAGTTTTCTACTCGCAAAAGATTGCCTCAATTCAAAGTACAGTCAAGTATTTATGAATCACACTTTGAAACAGTATGAAGTTTATTGCTCCAATTTACCAGTAGTATATAATATTACATCAGTAAAACAGATGAGCACCTTATAATAAAACCATCTGTGTTCAAATATACGAGTTTAAGGTGATAAGTATGAAAATACACCTAACAGAACTGGAGCATTATTAAGCGCTCAGTACTTATCTCATGAGCTCACCTACCTCAGTATTGATCACAGCACCCAAGTGCATAAACAGTATTTGAGTTCACAAGGTATAATATGCACTCAGGTAATTAAGATTATGTCCCCTTAAATACTAGTCTTTCAACATTAAAATGAAAATATTTTCTACTACACAGGGAATGTGTATGCACATTTCCAATTCTGATGTAAGCAAAAGTCCAAAACAAAACTACTGGGATCCTACAGAAGAAGAACTGGAAGATATTAGCATGTTATCCATTTTTCATCATCTTATTAGTGTAGTTCCTGTAACATTAGCAGTTACATATTTTTAATAAGGCAATATTGTATAGCAGTGCAGAAGTAAAAGATTACATTCGTTTATCACCAGAACCACATTCTTAACTATATACAGAGAAATAGCATCACCTCTGCAAAGTAGTAGCAGATGTCTGGGCCTTACAAGTTGGCTGCCCACTAGATGAGAAGTCCACAAACTGGAGCCTGGGTATTTTTTTAGAGTAACTTCATTTTATTCAGGGGCTCATGTACATGGTGAAAATATAGTCATTCAGTACATAGACAAATCCTTTTTGCCAAAATCTCAGTCCAGAACACCAGTGCCTGATTAGAGCAGTCATGGCAAAAAGCTTCTCTCAAGTAACCTACATCACAGAACAATAAGACCATACCAACACCGCTGCATCTCTATTACAAAACAATAAGACACTTCCCCTCCCCCCCAACTCTATCCACTGCTTGCATATTGAGAGAGAACTTGTAAAATTATATGTAATAGCACCATCTGGTGACTCCCACTGTAACAAATTCCACACGGGGTAGGAACCGCTCATTTTTGTGTGTGAAACATTTTTAAAAAGCTGTCTCAGACTTTTCCTTTCTTTCTGCAGTTAAATAGGACTGCAATGCTATGGAGGTGTCTCACCACAACATAAATGCTCCCAAGAAATGTTGACTGGGAAAAAAAAGTCCACTGAATAATTCCTTGCAGTCAGGTACAAAGCAGAGAAGTAGCAACCAACTAAAGTTCAGTCTAGGTAATTTCTTGTTATTCCTTGAAAACTCTTCAGCCATTAAGAAGTGATGAGATCAGACAGAGGTTTCCTCCACCCTCCCTCCCGAGATCATCCTCTGGTTTCAAAATGGCCAAATAGCCCAAGCATTTACTTAATTTAATTATTCTGCAGATATTATAAAGAGATCAGTACAGGCTTGAAGTAAGCAATGACCTTGCCAAATGTTTTAAAAAAACAAAAAAAAAAAAGATATTTCCACAAGGACTGAGGAAAATGCTTTTTGCTGAAGAACACTGATACTATGGAAACAAATGCTGCATTCCACAAGTGGAAGAAGCCTATAAGGTTAGAATTACAGTTTAAATGGCTCGTTTTAGTATTTAAAGTTAGTCTTTCAGGGAAGGCATCAATACACAAGATGTGCACCTCCTGCAAAAAGGATTTGTCATAGGGCTTTTTCTTGTGGGGGGGGGGGCGCGCCACGGAAGGAGGGTGATCATCCAATCGCTGAACAGAACTAGAAAGAACCTTGAGAGATCATCAAATCCAGCTGATACATCCCAGAACAACGCAGGAGGGGGTTGGGGGGCCAATAGAATCACACTGACTCATTTAGCTTGTGGTTCACTATGACGCCTAGATCCCTTTCCACAGTACTCCCTCCTAGACAGTCACTTCCCATTTTGTATGTTTGCAACTGACTGTTCCTCCCTAAGGGGCATACTTAGCATTTCTCCTTATTGAATTTCACCCTATTTACCTCAGACCATTTCTCCAGATCACTTTGAATTATAATCCTGTCCTCCAAAGTAGGAATGTAGAGTATAGCCATTTAAACAAGTAACCAATAAACCATGTTCATCAGTTACGCAAATGGCTATACACGGCTCTCAGTCTCTCTCCTTGGGATCCACCTGGCATCCCCGTGCTGCTAACTCTGCATCAGAGGCAGTGACACAGGACAGCAGCTGGCTCCCTGAGAGCAGAGTGGGAGCCACTGGGTGCCAGCTCTGGCTGCCGCCCCGCATGTAACCTCTAAAAATTTCAGGTTACACAGTTATCAAATTACACCCATTTTAACATCGCTACTCCAAAGCACTTGTAACCCCGCCCAGGTTGATATTATCTGCAACTATGCAATGGTGTTCTCCATTTCATTATCTAAGCGGTCCAATATATTGAACAGAACCAGACCCGTAACTTATCCTGGCGGAATCCCTACTTGTTATGTCCTTCCAGCACACCCTTCCAGCATGATTGAGAACCATTAGTAACTACTCTATGGTAACTGTTATCCAAACAGTTTTGCACCCAACTTCTAATAGCTCCCTCCAAGTTATATTCCCCTACTTAAATCCTCCTGAGTCAGCTATTGTGGGGGAGGGAGGGGAGGAAGAGAGGGTTAGCGTTTTGGGATAGTCCATTGTTATAGCAGCCCTCCTTTCAGAGCTTAGTGCTGTTTAACTGTCCAAGTAATTGAAAAAAATCAGTTATTAAAACTGCTTTTGTCGTGTTAGAGTCTATGGATTCAACTGTTAATGAGAAGGGCGTGTGAATGAAGAATGACAGATGCTGTACAAGGATACTGAAGAGCCAGGGAAATTGAGGATACTGTACTTCGCTACACTCCTATAATGCCATTGAACCAAAGGGCTGGACCAATTTTAAGAGTGCTAGAATTCCTTTTGAAGTCAAGATGTGAGCCACTTTGTGCTGACACGTACAGGACAGCTCTCAATACTTACGCCAGTGGCTTAAATAGAAACTAGATCACATACGACCTGAAGTACTTATTACCTAATTTCTATTCACTCAACTAGCTGGATTTGTCAATTTCCTTGTGCACACATGTTTGGCCACATCACTAAAACCACCATCCCAACTGGCTCACATGGGATGGGCAAAGAAGCCAAGGCTTGACATGCATGGAAAATTCAGTCAGGAGAGATCTCAACAGGTAAGAGCTCAGGCCCAACAGAAGGGGAATGTGTCAGAGCTTGCCGCACTACTGACTATTCTGTGCTTGCTTCCTGTCTCAGGGACTATAGTTGGCATGCTTCATAACCAATAACCATCACACACAAATTGTGAAGACAAATACTGTAGTCAGCCTGAAGTCTCACATTTCCCAGACAAGATTTGTGTGATGCCCTTCATGTCTCTAAAAAAAAAAAAAAAATGAACTTCTATGGAGATTAAACGAAATGTGTGTCCGCAGAAATGAGCTTTACCTGAAGTGAGGATTCGAAAAGTCTTATGTAGAGAAAAATGTTTCCAGATCGCCACAGACTCAACTAATATGACAAAAACTAATTTTAATGACTTTTTCCAATAACTGGATGAGTTAAATAGCACAGATAAGCTCTGAAAGGAGGATTGTTGTAACAATGGGCTATTCTGAAATGCTGCCCTACTCCCCCCAATTCTCTGCAATGAGGGACCTCAGGCAAAAAAGAGGAATAGGAAAGTAATAGGTACACACTAGTTGATTCAGGGGGGATTTAAATTGTTCCTATATGACCTTACAATCTCTACCACTTCGGGTTTGCCCTGCAATAACTGCTGGAGAGGACCCCAGCTGACATGGCCCACAATCATCGCTTCTCCATCAATGGTTCTCTTGCATCCACATTAACACAGCAGTATCATTTCCTAGATTTGCTGGAATTCCACACCCACACACTGGTCACAGCACATGCTCAGAAAGTTACAGTTTTCTGTATTTAGAGACTGTTTCAGAATCTGGGTTTTCTTTGCCAGGATTAAAAACAAGCCTCAGAGCTCTACAGGAATTTAAATATATGATAACACTGTAAATAAAAGGAAACAAATTCCTTAAGGAAAACCTCTAAGTATGCCAGATCAGTTCTCAATAGTAGCTGCTCTACTTTGCACAGAGATAAATATTTACATTCTGGAACAGAGAAATTACACCTTATGTTGCAATAAGAGGAATGCAAACCCCATCAGTCTTTAATATACTTTAAAATCCTAAACTCTTGTCAGAGTTTGACTGCTTGCAAGTGCCACATTAAATATTTCCTATTATTCAGCATTTTTCCCCCCATTAATCTACAACTTTTCTACTTACAGTACCAGAAAGAAAAACTGTACAATTCAGGAGGGAGTTTATCAAACCTACATTAAAAATGTAGAACCGATCTTCATGAGGGGACACCTCATCACTAAAGGATGTAAAAAATAAATCACTTGTGACGAGCATGTGTGTGTGTATATATACACACACGTATGCACACTACTGAGCGTTAGTCTTATCTGTTTAAAGCATCAATTCATTCCTCTTTAGAATGCCCCCTTAATGTTACAATCACTCACTGCTTTAAAGTGTGCAGGCACTAGATTTTTCTGTTCCAAAGCTATGCTGAATTAGCTCTTTGAGGTTGTCCTTCCTGACTAGGGTCATCGCATCCAAACACGTCTGATTGTGTATCATTCTTGGCAATCATTTCCCTAGAATGAAAACAGGGATGTGGAGAGCATTGGTCTAAGAACTGAAAGTAGCATCCAAGCGTACTACTACACTATTTCTCACTAGGATGCTATGACAGTTCCTATGCAGTCAAAACACTCTTACACAAAAGCTCTCAAGTACCGCATCCTACACAGAAGAATTACATATCAAATTTTTGTCTTGACAAATCAAGAGGAACTGATCTCAGAAATAAAAGTTAATGCTAGTTTATGTACAAATGATTGCGACTTGATCACACTTGCATACAAGCAGAATGAAGTCCTGTGCAGTGATAATATGTTACTTGATGCCATAAAAGGGCCAATTTCACAAAGCTGAAATCAATCATCAGCCAGACCATATGGGAGGAAGAATTTAATCAGAAAAACATCAATGCTGGAAGTACGGATGTAAGCAACTAGTTGCTTGTATGCTTATTGGGTAGTTGAGTAGTAATTCAACTAGTCACCCCCTCCCTCCCCAGCTCCATCTGTCAGAGAGGCACTTGGGGGGGGGGGGGAGGAAGAGGGAAGAGCAGGAAATTCCATCAACTACTTGATTAACCAACTAATCGAAATTTAACATCCATAGTCAGGAGTTGTACAAGAATACTATACTAAATGCCCTCTCCTCTTCCCCCACCCTTGCTGCCTCTTTTGGATAGAGGCATTAAGTGGAGGAGCGACTAATCTGTTTACTATAGGATAAGCTTTTGCTTGATGTTTTGCTTATTGGATAGTCAACTAGTTCATTAATCGCTTACATCCCTATTGCTTTAACACTTGTCTGATTTTGAGAGCAAAGTATTACTGAAAAGTTGCTGAGTCTCTACCATACTGATATAAAATAAACCAATCACAATAGAAATATTGTACATTCTATATGATACACTGAAATGTGAGCCCTATAAACAAGTCCTCGTATGAAATTTTAGTATGTAATGACTTTGCTAGTGCTTTTTATGTAGTCTGCTGTAGACTAGGCAAATATCTAGAGGAGCTGATGTATTCTCTAGAAAACCAATGCATACCCCAGGGTATACGTACCCCTGGTTGAGAACCACTGATTTAGTGGATATGCCAGGGAATTTGATGTCAGGAGTATTGTATTCTATCCCTGACTGCCAGCAGCTCAATTTCTTGCCTTCCTGCTTCCTTGTTCATGTAAGGATATGCAGGGCCTCATCTTTTATAGCATGTGTATTAAAAGTCTCCATTGCTAATGTAAGGATATTAGTTTCCTTTCTTTTATAGCAGAAAACAAAGGAATCTTCCTGCGTATTTTGCACTTTCCGTATGTATTCAATTCATGGAGATTCAACTATACTGAGCTCTGAGGCAACTTCTGAGTTTTCTGTTTTGGTCTACTGTGCCAAGGCTTTTCCATTTTGGTTTTCTTGAGTTTAGTTCAACCTCATCTTATGTGTTTAGTTTTATCCTTACCATAACCTAGTATGCCACTGCCAGTCTAAAACTCAGTAAGAAATGAGACTGTCAATCTCCAATTCAATATTCCAACAACATTATTGACGGCTGCCATTTAGAATGAAACCTAGACCCAGCAACAACCCAATATGCCACTATTTCTGCCTGCTTGCAAGTGTTCATTGTTAGTGTCCCTGATATCCCCTCTCACCCCAAGCTCACCTTCATGCCCATACAGAATAGCTTGATGTGGCTGGAAACATCTACTTGGAACATTCACTGACATTTGCGTCGAAGCTAGTTGTGGGACAAAACAAAGTTCATAAACTTGAACCTACCAATGAATTTCAGATTCACCGTCTACACCAAACTATCATTTACATATTGAAAAATTGTAACTGCACATAATAATTGGATAAAATTAAAATTGGCCATTATGACAAACACACAAGCGGACAAATGATTTTACACAAGTCTTAAGTGAGGAGGCAAAGATCCCAAATATCAATGTGGCCCTACAACTACATATAAAAAAAAAAAAGTCCTGCCCCATCTCAAGTGACACTACGCATGCATGTTTCAGAAAGCCTTCGACCACCATGCCATACATGAGTTACAAAGCTGGTATGTGCTTCTGAGGAATACCTGAGTCTCTGACTGACACAGAGCCCTTAGAAAAATCAATCAGGCCAAACTACAGATGAGGATTTCCCCAGTGACCCCAAGAGCAGAGGCATAGGATCCCCATGAGATCAGCCATCCAAGGATGCTCAATGTCACTACGTCACTCAAAGTATCTCCTACAGCTTAGTGGCTCTGAAAGACTATTCCCGCTCCAGCCTGTGTCTGCTCCCGTTCTTGAGTCCCTGCTCTGATCTCAGGCTGCAGTCCCTGCCTGATCGCTGTTGCTTCAACTACACGGCCTGAGCATTCATGACTCACTTTCTCCATCTCAGCTGTTGGACACCTCTGCAATGACCATCATGGAGAGGACAGAGTTGATCCAGAGCCTTAGGGGTCAAGTTGCTCAGCTGCATCTGAATAATGCTGCCCTCCACTCTTTGGTCCTGTACACTTCAAAAGAGAGAGGCAGTGGGAACCCACGCCAGGAGCAAAGCAGTCCCTGCTGGCATGGGTTCCCCTCCAGGCTTCTTCAGGAGCGGCTCTCCTACATTCCAAAGGGAGAGCAGCAGCAGTGGGACTGGTACGAGCAGGACTGTTTCAGTCCCTGCTTGGGCCATTTTCCCGCTGCCTCCTGCCCCCTGCCGAGACAGTGCT